AAAATATATACAGCCAGGCAGTAGAGGCACACACCGTTAATCCCAGAACTCAGGAGGCAGAAGCAAGTGAATCTTGTTTGAGGCAAGTTCAACGCCAGCCTAGTTTACAGAGCAAGTTTTTTTTTTTTTTTTTTTTTTTTTTTTTTTTTTTTTTTGGTTTGGTTTGTGGCGGGGCAGGGTTTCTCTGTGTAACCCTGGTTGCCCTGGAACTCACTCTGCAGACTAGGCTGCCCTCAAACTCAGAGATCCACCTGCCTCTGCCTCCCGAGTGGAAGCCAGCTATGGAAAAGTCTGTTTTCCAGCTTTAAGACAAGATTATGTGGACTTAAAGACAGCTGATACTGCCTGATGGGGTGTATCCGTGCAGCCAGCTCAGGGTCACCTTTGTTGTCCTGCAGAGCTGTTGGTTTGATTTGTGTGTGGAGGGTGTGGTGCCTACATCTGGGCAAGTGTCTTTGGGAGCCAGAGAAAGATGCCAGATGGCCTCCTCTATTACTCTGTACCTTATTCTGGTGAGACAAGGTCTCTCCTTGAACCAGAAGTTTACCATTCTGGCTAGACTGACTGGCCAGCAAGCTCTTGGGAACCACCTGTCTCTGTGTCCCAGCTGCTGGGGTTGTAGGCTCACAAAGCCATACTTGGCTTTGAACATAGGTGTTGGAATTTGAATTCATGTCTTCATGTTCACATTGCAAGCATTTGTACCCCGAGCTGTCTCTATAGTCCCTACTATTTATTTACTTGTTTATTTTGCTGCTTCTGAGTATGAGATACCACTGTTTATTGGTTATTTGAAAATGAAATTTGGGGCCAGTGAGATGACTCAGCGGGCACAGGCACTCGCTGCACTAGTGTGATGACCTCAGTCTGTCCCCGGAATGCATGGTGGAGACAACTAACTCCCAGTTATTCTCTGACCTCGGCCTGTATGCCTTGAGATGTGCATGTTACACTCAAACACATATAACAATAATTTTTTTTTTCTGAGACAGGTTTTTCTCTGTGTAACAGCTCTAGCTGTCCTGGAACTCACTCTGTAGACCAGACTGGCCTCGAACTCACAGAGATCCACCTGCCTCTGCCTTCCAAGTACTAGGATTAAAGGCGTGCACCACCACAGCAACAATAATAAATAATTCAAATTCAGAAAAGCATGCACCTTTGAGAGCTGGTTGTGGTGGTCCACTTGGTAGGTACAAGTAGCTGGAGTTCAAGGTCACCTTCAGCCATACAGTGAGTTAAAGGCTAACTTGAAATACATGAGGTCCTATCTCTAAAAAAAAGATTTTATTGCTCTCTGCTCCTTGACTGGACTACATGTGGCCAGCCGCCTCCTGCAGCTGTTGTCTTATGCCATGATAGACCATCCTCTAAAACTGCAAACCAAAATAAGCCCTTCTTTCCGTTAAAAACCAGCAAACATAAAAATGATGAATCTCAATATATGTCCCTGTATTTCACTATAGCAGTCTTGGCTGTCCTGGAACTCGCTTTGTAGACCAGGCTGGCCTCAAACTCACTGAGATCCACCTGCCTCTGCCTCCCAAGTGCTGGGATTAAAGGCATGCGCCACCACCGCCGGGCTTAGTTACAGCATTTTCAAACATATATATATATAATCTCATTGTACTTTGCTCATGTCTTATCTCTCTTCCACACATACAGAGACTGTAAGTCCAAAGATACATAATTTTTTTAAAAAGCTGAGCCTTCTGTCTACATAAGTACATGGGTGTAATCACAGCTCTAGGAAGCTGAGACAGGCACATTGCTGTGAGTTTGAGGTCTGCCTGAGTTACACAGTTCTAGGCTATAATATGAAACATTGTCTCAAAAACCAGGAGGGGGTGAGTTGGAGAGAAAGCAAGTGACCAAGTCCTTGGCCACCCATGTGAAGGCCACCCTGCTGGTAAGTGGCAGAGTCAGATTTGAATCCCTGCCTCTAAGCTCCAGCCTGCCTCCCCAGCACCTAGTACTTGTACTCTGCATTCCTGAGAGATGTGGTGATTGGAACTCATATGAACTTGATGAGGCTGGATTTGTCTAGATCTTCAGGGGCAGGGAAAGGCATATGCAATGATTTTAAGACAAAGAGTAAGAAATTTAGGGGCGAGAAAGAGTAGCCCCAAAATAAACCAGGAAAACTAGCTGTTCCTGCTTGAGCAGGAAATACCCAGTTATCCAGCTTGCTTAGTGTCATGCCATTTAGCTTCCTCAGAGGCCCCTCTATGGGTGTTAATGAAACTGACCTCGCTTGAGTCAGTGGTAGTAAAACAGGTTATTAAAAAAAAATCTAATTTGTTATTTTACACCACCAATGCTTAAGAATGTGTGTGTGTGTGTGTGTGTGTGTGTGTGTGTGTGTGTTTTATCCATGGACAGTGGTACATGCTTTTTTTTTTTCTTTTTGGATTTTTTGAGACAGTGCCTCTCTGTGTAGCTTTGGAGCATGTCTTGGAAGTAGCTCTATAGAGATCCGCCTGTCTCTGCCTCTCAGGTGCTGGGATTAAAGGCGGGTGCCGCTGCCATCGCTGATGCATGCCTTTTAATCCCAACACTTGGGAGGCAGAAGCCAATGGATCTCCGATATGGCCAGTCTAGCCTATAAATAGAGTTAGTTCCAGGACAGCCAGGGCTATACAGAAAAAACCCATTTCAAAAAATAAATATTGATACATGTGTGCATATGCTATTTATTTATATATGCAGCATATATAACTAAAGTAATTAGGAGTGCAGTGTGAAATAGGAAGAGATGTGTTGTCCTGGGCATAATTTTAGAGAGAATATGGACATCTCTGGCTTTTTTTTTTCTAATTTTTATACGCATTGATGTTTGAGGGAGTCGGATACCCTGGAACTTGAGTTACAGACAGTTGTGAGCTGCCATGTGGGTGCTGGGAATTGATCCCGGGTCCTCTGGAAGAACAGCACGTGCAGCCGGGTGGTGGTGGTGCACACCTTTAATCCCAGCACTCGGGAGGCAGAGGCAGGCGGATCTCTCTGTGAGTTCGAGGCCAGCCTGGTCTACAAGAGCTAGTTCCAGGACAGGCACAAAAGCTACAGAGAAACCCTGTCTCGAAAAACCAAAAAAAAAAAAAAAAAAAAAAACCCAGCACGTGCTCTTAACTGCTGAGCCATTTCTGCAGCCCTTATCCCTGGCTTTTAATAATCAGTGGTCTGCAGAGCCAGGCATAGTGACTTAGACCTTAAGTCCCAGCATGAAAGGCAACGATAGGTATATCTCTTTACGTTTGAGGGCAGCCTGATCTACGTATTGAGTTCCAGGCACACAGGCCTTCATAGTGAGACCCTGTGTTTAAAGTAAATAAATTGGGTAAGACAAAATCCCAATGGTAGTGACAGGGGCCAGCCAGGCTCCACATCCATAGTGGGAAGCACAAACCAGAGCTGAGAATGTCTTCACTTGGTAGGAAACTTTGTCTGGCACATGAAGCCCTAGGTTCATTCCCTAGCACCTAAAACCAGGTGTGGTTCATAGGTTGAGGCTACCCTAGGATGCACAAGACCCTGTCTATAAATAAGTAAACAAACTAACATCCTAATGACATATACACAAACAAAACAAAAAGTCCTAGAGGCTCTGAGTTGCTGACTGCAGGAACCATGCTTGTTTCAGTGGTCCTCAAAGGCACAGATGTTCTGTCCCCAGGACAGGATGATGCTGGGTACCTTGTGAACCAGACTCTCCCTTCCCCCAGTGAGCGTGCGGCGGTGCCTTTCAGGGGTCGAGGGCCCTGTGCTGCATGGTTTTAGTGCCCAGTGTTATTTATCTAATCTGTCATTTTTATTAGCTACCCTTGGTTTTTGGTCTTTTTGTTTTGCTTTTGGTGTTTTGGTTTGTTTGTTTTGTTTTGAGACAGGGTCTCTGTATAGCCCTGGGTGTCCTGGAACTCTGTATGTAGACCACACTGGACTCAAATTCAGAGATTCGCCTACCTCTGCCCCCTGAGTGCTGGGATTAAAGGAGTGTGTCACCATGCTTGACTTCCTTTTTTTTTCCTGATTTTTTTTAGTCTTTTTTTGATTTTCTTTTTCTTTTTTTTCGAGACAGGGTTTCTCTGTGGTTTTGGAGCCTGTCCTGGAACTAGCTCTTGTAGACCAGGCTGATCTCGAACTCACAGAGATCCGCCTGCCTCTGCCTCCCGAGTGCTGGGATTAAAGGCGTGCGCCACCACCGCCCGGCTCAGTCTTTCTTTGAGACAGTCTGTTGTTCTCTAGGCCAGGCTGCCCTCGCTTGCCCCACACGCCCACCTGAGGCTCCAGGTGCTTGTCTTCACAGTGCTGCAGCTGCAGCTGCTGCTTTTTAGTTCATACTTCTTCCCACTGTCGTATTGTGAAACTGCTAGATGTTTGCAGCAAGAAAACTTTAATTAAGGGCTGGAGAAATAACTCAGAGCTTAAGAGTATTACTCCTTTTGTGGAGGACCTGGGTTCAGTTCCCAGCATCTGTGCAATGCACCGAAATCAGGTACACACACACACACATCAAGTAAATACTTTTTAAGAGAAGGAAATTTAAGATCGGTCATTTTTTGTGATTGAAGCCTTGAAGGCTAAATTACTTGCCCAGATTTGACCCCCCCCCCCCCCCACTTATTGTGTTGTTTTGTTTTGTTTTTGTTTTTCTTGATTTTTCGAGACAGGGCTTCTCTGTAGCTTTGGAGTCTGTCCTGGAACTAGTTCTTGTAGACCAGGCTGGCCTCAAACTCACAAAGATCCGCCTGTCTCTGCCTCCCAAGTGCTGGGATGAAAGGTGTGTGCCACAATGCCCGGCTTGTTTGTTTTGTTTTCTCTGTGTCTAACAGGTGACTGTGGTATCAGTGTTCAAGGAACAAAATCCTTCAGCTTTTATTTTGGAAAAATACTTCATTTGTTCTTTGGGGTCAGAAAACTTAATTGCTTTCAAATTATCCAAGAATGTAGGTTCCACTGAGTATGATCTCCCCCACTAACCAGTTTGTTTCTTACTGTTTTAGGAACCATGTTTGACTGGGACTATGGGAAGGTCAGCTCTATCCTGGAGACCCTTGTAAGGAGATGAGTCGTTGAGCAGAGGCCAGAATGAAGTTGCTGCCAGGAGTGGGCGTGTTTGGGACTGGCAGCTCAGCCCGGGTCCTAGTCCCGCTGCTGAGGGCAGAGGGGTTCACCGTGGAGGCCCTGTGGGGGAAGACCGAGGAGGAAGCAAAGCAGCTCGCCGAGGAGATGAACATCACTTTCTACACCAGCCGGACTGATGACATCTTGCTGCATCAAGATGTAGACCTGGTGTGCATCAACATCCCACCTCCGCTCACCCGGCAGATATCCGTGAAGGCTCTAGGTATGTACCTTCAGACTGCAGCAGGCGGAATGTGTTTCCCTTTGGGCAGTCCTCCACAGCTCACTGCCCTCTCACAGGCCTGGGCATTCCTTCTTTGTCTGTGTCTGCGCGTAGCTGTGATGTGGGACATCGCTGGGACACGGCTGGGAAAGGAATGTTGGAGATTGATTCTAAAAGCTCTCAAGAGGAAAGAATAGCTCGACCTTCTGTACCCCCTGTTCACTAGTAACCCTCTGAGCCGACGCTCAGCCCGTCAAGGAGCCAGAGATATGCGGTTGTTGACTCTTGGGTCTGCCTCTGGACCCTGCGGGTCAGTTGTGACCGCTGTGTGTGCTTTGCCGTTGTGTAGCACAGGGCCCTGCGGGAAGGAGTGGAGGCTGTCCCGTTTCCCGTGCTTTGTCAGCCCTTGACTGTAGTGAGCACCACCCTTCCTGGCAAGCTGCAATCTCACACTGCCAGACAGCAGGAAGGCTGTCTGTCAGCCCTGGCTTTCCCGACACCAACCACGGGACAGCTCGCTTACATTTCCACTCCCTTGGGAAACTGGGCTTGGGGACCTCTGACCCTGGCTGGGTGAGGCCCTGTCAACTGATCTTCAGCTCCTAGTGAATTCCACTTGATTGTGAACTATGGACAGATTTTTCTTTCATCATACATATCTTGAGACAAGAGTTTACCTATGTAGTTCAGGCTGTCCCCCAACTCACAATCCTGCCTCACCCTTCGAGTGCTGGGAGTGTGTGTGTGTGTGTGTGTGTGTGTGTATGTGTGTGTGTATGTGTGTGTGTGCACAACTACTCCTGGCTTCTTTTCTTTCTGTTACTGGATCTCTCTTGCTCTTTTTCTTTATGTTTTTTAAGTTAAGGTTCCAAGCTTTCCAACTGCAGTCTGTTTAGAGTTGACAGAAGACAAGACAGTCCTTAGTAGATGTCAGAATAGTCTAATTTTAACTGAGCTCCCTTCGACCTGGAGCATATACGAGGTTTTCACACTTACGTATTGCTTCCATGTAACTAGGCATGTTCCTTGGGTTGTGCTGGAATATGGTAAGCATATAAAAGGTGTAGAGGGTAAAAACAGCAATGTGAGGCACACAATGCGGACATAGACTTGCGGACATGAAGACGTGTGGCCCAGCTGATGTCCTCTTAGACTTCTCATGCCTCTGGCTTTCAGTAGCATCAAGTAGAACAGCCAGGCCTGTGGGTGTCTCTCACTTTCTCAGAGCTCTGCCTCCACTCAGTGCTGTGGAAGAGGCTGACAGAGCTTTCCCCTTCCCCCAACCCCCACACTGCAGGGGTCCCTGCACAGCCCCACCAAAGAAACATGTCACCTGGGACAGTTGTGAGAGTCGCACTGTGGTTTCTCCAGCTCCCGGATTTGCTCACTCGCTGGGGCTGGCAACTACCTAGGTGGTTCTGATGCACACTGTGGGTGAAGGGTCACAGACCCACAGCACTGTCTTTGTTCTTCTGTAAAGGATGTGGTTCAATTGGTAGAGCGCTTAGCATGTATGAAAATCAGGGTTCAGTCTCCAGAGCCACAGAAGACTAAGCGTGGTGGTATGTGTATTCTCTTAACACCGGCATTTGGGAAGTGGGGCAGGAAGACCAGATCAAATTGTTTTTGGCTTTTGACTCCATAATGAGGTCAAGGGCAGCATGGAATACATGAAAAATTGTGTTTAAGAAAGAAAAGGAGCCAGGCGGTGGTGGCACACGCCTTTAATCCCAGCACTTGGGAGGCAGAGGCAGGCAGATCTCTGTGAGTTTGAGACCAGCCTGGTCTACAAGAGCTAGTTCCAGGACGGGCTCCAAAGCCACAGAGAAACCATGTCTTGAAAAACAAAAAAAAAAAAAAAAAAAAAAAAAAAAAAAAAAAAGAGAGAGAAAGAAAAGGAAAGCAAGGCGGTGATGGCGAATGCTTTTAATCCCAGCTCTCGGGAGGCAGAGAGAGGTGGATCTCTGTGAGCTCCAGGCCAACGTGGTCTACAAAGTGAGTTCCAGGACAGCCAGAGCTACACAGAAAAACCCTGTCTCTAAAAACCGAAAAGAAAAGAAAAGAAAAGGAAAGAAGGAAGGGCCGGGCGGTGGTGGCGCACGCCTTTAATCCCAGCACTCGGGAGGCAGAGGCAGGCGGATCTCTGTGAGTTCGAGAGCCTGGTCTACAAGAGTGAGTTCCAGGACAGGAATCAAAAGCTACGGAGAAACCCTGTCTCGAAAAATCCAAAAAAGAAAGGAAAGAAAGAAAGAGAAGAAAAGAGAGGACTAGTGAGAGGCTTGGTAACTCAGGGCACTTTGTTCCCAAGGATGACAACTGGAGTTTGATCCCTTGAACCCACACTTGGAAGGAGAGACAACTCCTCAGTTTTCCTCTGAATCTGAAACTCACTGGGACTTGGAGGTATAGCTCAGGCAGAGCTAGTGTGCAGAGACTTTGGGTTCAATTCCCAGTACCCCAAACAAAAGAAAAAGAAATGCAACTGAGGCCCAGTGTAGCAAGGAGGCCACTAGTTGGTTCCCAGCTCCTCAGCCCCGAAATAATCACACAGAAACTGTATTAATTAAATCACTGCTTGGCCCATTAACTCTAGCTTCTTGTTGGCTAACTCTTACATCATAATTTAACCCATTTCTATTAACATACTGTGTAAAGTTCTGACGTCTATCTCCAGTGGGGCTACATGGCCTTTCCTCACTCTGCTTCCTTTCTCCCAGCATTCAGTTTAGTTTTCCCCACCTACCTAAGTCTGCCCTATCAACAATCCAAGGCAGTTTCTTTATTCACCAATGGTATTCATATCATATAGAGGGGAATTCCACATCAGCCCAGGAATGCTACTTGGGTAGTTTCTAAGTCTTGGGCTATAGGCAAAATTGCTTTTCCTTCTCATTAGAGTATTTTTTACTTTGATTTTGTGTTTGTGGTGTCCTTGTGTTCACACTGTGTGTAGAAATGCATGTCCTTTTCATGCCACACATAGAGGCTAGAGCTTAATATTGGGTAATTTCATTTTTAATTTGCAGGGCTGGGGGGTGCATGTGACTATGAGTGCCCAGGGAGGAAGCCCATCAGCTCCTCCTGGAGCTGGAGTTATAGGCAGTTATGAGCGGGTGCTGGGAATTGGACTTGGGGCTCTCCAGCCCTATCTACTTTATTTTTTGAGACACTGAACCAGGAGTTCTCCATTTCAACTAGACTGGCCAGCCAGTAAGCCCCTGGGGTACGTCTGTCTGTGTCCACTCCCTGCATCCTCAGTTAGTTGTTCTTGCCACATGCCTCGTTTTCCCACGACCGCTGAATCCACTCAGGTCCTCGTGTGTGCGGCAGCACCTTACCCATCCAGCCGGCTCCACAACTGAGTTATGAAAGAGGACAGGAGGGATTTGTTTTCTAGTTCTAATTCTGCTAAGGATTTTATCATATTTGGTGATGGATAAATGCACAAAAACATATTCCAGACAGAAACATGGATAGATATGACTTGCAGAGTGAGGTTGAATATTTATTCACAGGGTTATGAAGGGAGAAGGAGAAAAAAAAAAACATATTCCATACTGAAAGTGTATGTGAAGCTCCACAGCTTCAGTATATATAGAAATTCACTGAGATATGTAGACTTTAGGTCTGGTTACTTTTGGTGTGTTTGTGTTGTTTAAAAGAGTTTTTGAAAAAAAATAAAAATAAAATAAGAGTTTTTGTTGCTCAGGAATAAAGTTTACAAAACTAATTAAGATTAGATATATACATGTATGTCTATATATATTTTATAACACATTAAGTTTATTAATTCTTTTCTTATGAGCTATTACAATAACAAAAGATCACTCTCTAAGCACACTGACCCAGATAATTTAATCTCAAGAACTCCAGTTCTTGGCTGGAGAGATGAGTCAGTGGATAAGAACACTGGCTGCTCTTCCAGAGGTCCTGAGTTCAATTCCCAGCAACCACATGGTGGCTCACAACCATCTGTAATAAGGTCTGGTGCCCTCTTCTGGCTTGCAGTCAGACATGTAGGCAGAATACCATATACATAATAAATAACTAAATCTTTAAAAATAAAAACTCCAGTTCCTTACATAGCCTTTTAGCCCAGACCAGAATCCTGCTATGCAGTTTACATTTTTACCGTATGCTCATATGAACCCCCAAAGTGTAACTTTTCTTTCTTTCTTTTTTTTTTTTGTGGTTTTTTTTCGAGACAGGGTTTCTCTGTGGTTTTGGAGCCTGTCCTGGAACTAGCTCTTGTAGACCAGGCTGGTCTTGAACTCACAGAGATCCGCCTGCCTCTGCCGCCCGGCCAAAGTGTAACTTTTCAAGTTAAATCCTTTACTGATACTGTGTTCCCCCAGTGCTTGGCCCAGGACCTGGCATACTGGGTAAATACAACATTTACAGCCAGGTGGTGGTGGCGCACGCCTTTAATCCCAGCACTCGGGAGGCAGAGGCAGGCGGTTATCTATGAGTTCGAGACCAGCCTGGTCTACAAGAGCTAGTTCCAGGACAGGCTCCAAAACCACAGAGAAACCCTGTCTCGAAAGAACCAAAAAAAAAAAAAAAAAAAACCATTTACTGTTCCTGTCCATGTGGTCCATATTGCTGGTGGTCAGGAAAGAATGGAGATGGGCTGTAGGCAAGAGTGAGAGCCTGCTCTGTTGGTTTGCAAGCTCATACATATTTCTAGTACCTGGGCTGGATATGGTGGCACCCACCTTTAATTCCAGTGTCCAGAAGTCAAAGACTGGCAGATCTCTATGGGTAGCCTGGTCTACATAGTGAGTTTCGTGACAGCCTGGACTACATAGAGAAACCTTGTCTTACACACACACACACACACACACACACACGGGCTAGAAAGATGGCAGTGGTTGAGAATACTGGTTGTGTGAATCTTCAAGTCTGAATCTCAAGAAGCCATTCTGCTGTATTCAGCCTCTCCAGCGATTTGGTAAACGCGAATCACTGATGGTTGTGCTGAGCCAGACGCCTTACCTGGG